CAAATTTAATTTGTATTTTACTAGTAAGACGTTTCCGCGCTCAAAAAGCGTCTTCACCTCTTAACCTCGTGTAGGTCACCATCTAGCTATCATATGAAGGTCACCAGCAAGCCCTATTGTAGTGATTGCGCACTACAACTTCCTTCCTTGCCCGACTGAACCGGCCTTCCCCCGAACACATGATTTCTGCTTTTTCAGTCTCTGCTCCCCTCTAAAGCTAATGTCATAAGCGCATGCTGTGCGCAGCGCTCCCTTCCCCCTCGTCATGAAAGGCTGCCCGCACTGCGGTGGGCAGAAGCTGACGGACCCAAACCGCTACGCTTCGGAAGGAGCAATATGGTTTCGAGCCTGATGACTTCTTCGCTGGCCGCGGTGCCAAGCGTGAAACAAAGCCCGACATCGTGTTAGGTGGTGAGCGGGCTCCCACGTGGCTTGGTCTTCGGGAGTACCACGCTACTTGACGAGGTACTGGGCGTCGGCTCCCGAGCCGCGCTTGCCCATAATATAATCGACCTCATACTCCTCTGTTGGACTGACTGCTGCATCGCGTATAGGGGACCAGGCGGTATCGGCTTTCTGGGAAACCAAATCTGGAGGGCGGGGGCGACGGGGAACTAACTTCAAGCATGGAAAACGTTGTGGCATGCACAAGTACGAGGCAAAGTGAGGTGGTAAACGATGGTCCGTATACGTTCAATGACTTCAAACTGTCCTCGGTAACGAGGTTCGAGCTTAGGGCAGCTAGTCGAAGCTGGTAGGTGCTCGCTACTCAGCCAAACCTTGTCGCCCACTGCAAACTCCACGGCTCAGCGCTTTGTGTCTGCGTAGTATTTCTGCTGCCATTCTGCTTTCAGGATGTGGCTCTGTGCTCTGTCGCAGAGCTGCCGGAAAAGCTTATTCATCGGAGGAGTGAACGTAGGGGCTAACGTGCCTAGGATATCAAGAGTTGCAGCAGTCAGCGGGTTCTTGCTGATCATGACCTCGAAGGGAGAGAGCTCGGTGGATAAATGGCTTGTCGTGTTATAGGCAAGTTCTAACGCCGGAAGCAAGCGCTCCCACTTGCGTTCGTCAGATTGGATGTAGGTACAAAGCATCTCCTCCAGTGCGCAGTTAACCCGTTCAGTTTGGCCGTCGCTTTGGGGATGGTAAGACGAGGACATGCACCGTTTGATGTTAAAGCGGCGGCAGAGTTGGTTCCAAAGATCCGACTGGAAACGGGAGTCTCAGTCCGATATGAGCCCCTCTGGAAAGCCGTGATAGCGGATAAGGCGGTCTGCGAGAAGCTCCACGGTGTGTACTGCTGTGAATGACTTCTTTGCAGGAACGAAATGGGGCATCTTGCTGAGGGAGTCGACCATCACAAGAATCGAGTCGTGCCCTGCCGTTAAAAGGAGAAGACCTGTGATAACGTTAAAGCTCACTTGCTCCCACCGACAAGAAGGGATGAGTAACTGTTGAAGAAGGCCTACAGGTTTCTAGTTAAGGGACTTGGACTCTCGACAGAGAGTACATGATTCAACATACACAGCAGTGTAGGCGCGCATTCTTAGCCAGTAGTAGTGCTTGCTCAGAGCCGTGAAGGTCTTCCTCTGGCCTCGATGACGTGCTGTGACATGGTCATGGTGTGAATGCAGAACGTGTGTAAGGAACTCAGGGAATTGTGAGACACAGATTCTCCATAGTTCAGCAAATGTGCAGGTAAGGCGGCACATACCGGAAGGTGAACTGGCAATTACGGAACTCTACCTAAACAGCGTCTCCTGGTTGTTTTGTAGCGGCTTCGTAGGGAGCGCGGAAAACGGGACACTCTGAGTAAGCTTGCGGCCATGAGTGCACATCAGGAGGGTCACGTAGCGTCTTCGTTGTAGGTGTAGAGTGTTCCGCCTCTGGATTGTGTTCCGGCGGCGCAAGTGAAGGTGGCAATGGCAAAGTGCGTTGTAATGCTGGCGAGTTGAGTTCCGTGTCGAGAGCGAGGAGCCGCGCGCGCTTGTTCTATTGCGAACATCGGTGGTGTCGGTGGTGTGTCGTGCGAGCAGGCGTTTGGGAGACCGGGAAGGTGAGACAAGGCATCAGCCACCTGATTGCGCGCACCTTGAACGTAAGCAATGTGAAAATCCGGAAACTTGGCCAGGAAATCTAACCACTGGGCGGTGCTTTCGCGCAGAGGCTTCGATGCTTGGAGTCGTTGGAGATAGGTGAGAGCTTGGCGATTAGTATGAGCCGTAACCCTTGCAACTCGGAGCAAGTGAGACCACCTGTCCAGGGCGGTGACCAACGCCAGGAGTTCTTGATCGTATATCGAGCGTTTCTGCTGTGTGGAGCTCATGACTTGGCTGAGGAGACCGATGGGCTTGCCGTCTTGTTCCAGGACCGCACCGATTGCATAAGCGGCGGCGTCCGTGTATAGGGCATCATGGTGTCAGGGACTTGTAATTCAGTGAAGTCGATTAAGCGCTGTTTGAGCTGCCTCACTGCCAACGTGTGAAGCTCTGTTCATTTGAAACGAACGTCTTTACGCGTAAGATCAACCAGCGGCCGGGTGGCGTCAGCCTAGTCAGGTCCCATAAACATGCAAAAGTAATTTATGGCGCGAGGAACTGGCATGCCTGCGTCTCGCTCTCCAGCACCTCTGGCCAATGCCGAATGGCTTCGATTTTGTCTTCTGCAGGTTTGATCCTTGCACCAGTGATTGTATAACACAAATATGCGATTGCTTGCTTGGCAAAATTATATTTGCGGAATTTTGGGTAAAACTGACGTTTAAGAGAAATACTGACGACTTGTCCAGGAGAGAAACGTGCCTAGAGACGTAAGGAGTACCGATAAGTCTCTCATCTAGGTACGCAGTAACGCCATGTCCTAATAAACGTTGTAGATAGGCATTAATGTTTGCTTGGAACGTAGCTGGTACACCCTTAAGCCCAAAAGGGCATAACTTGGTATTTGAATAACGCCAGGGCGGAACGGAAAGCCGTCATCCAGCGACCCTGCGTAGCCATATGTATTTAATGGAAACCTGCTGTAGTACGCCGTGCTCTATGCAGCTACTGCGATGCTACATGTTTTTCAACTAGGGCGCCCTATGAAATTGTCTCTATTTTCGACGCATTTCTCATGAAACGAAGACCAAATTATCAAAAGGGCACTCCTCTTTTCAGTTCTCAATCCCCAAATTTCTCAAAAGTTGCTCACTCATGGTTCTCGCTTTCTTGGCCCGGAAGGGCGGTGACCCGCACCGGTGCCGGCGTTATCGCCAGCCCCAATCTTAGAGTAGTCATAGACATTTCTAGTTTATGCATGTTTTGCCGACAAATTGCTTCCCTATTTGACTAGGAATAAGCTTCCGCGCATGAACAGCGTCTCAACCGCTTAACCTCTTAAATGCTACCAGCTGACTATTTTCTTAAGGTCACCAGCAAGCTCCATTGTCGTGCCTGCGCACTACAGTTCTGGCGAGCGGAAAGTGCTCATTAGGGTGTGCTACGAAGTATCAAATGCCCTGGCCGTTGTCAGTTCCCCACACACGTTATTTATGCTGTTCCAGATGTATTGGGGGAAACTAAATACATTTCTACCTTGGTGGCAGAAGCAAGATTTCATGAGCCATGCGTTCCCAATAATGGCAGAGGGACAGGTGAAAAACTGTTTCGAGTCAATTGCGGTGGCATGAGGTAATGCATTCTCGCCTGAAGAAGGTTCCAGCTACATTTCAAACAAACAGTAAAAAAATCGATGGAAAGGTCATGAAATATTTGGACGAGGTGGGAGATGCCGACATCAGGCACTCTCTGGTGGGAGATACAACCCGAGGGAGCCAGAGTTAGATGGGC